CTGATAATTGTGGTGATACCTTTGAACGATCCAAGGTGTTTTTTGCAGACCGCCCCATTATGATGCCGTTTAAAAGCCCGCTGAGGACAAACCCACGACATACAGTTAACTTTATAGGTATATAGATATTAGTAGGATTTACTAGAAGTGAATCAAGGCGGCCAACGCACTGATAAAAGAACAATTTCAGGTGAAGATAGCAATAAAGCAGGTTAGGTTACCAGGACGTTTTAGAGTCAGACGCGAAATTTCAGTGAACATTTGAATCGAAGACAATCAGCTACTTTGGAATAATCATGCAATGTCTATTCTACAAACAATTACTATCATATGTGTTGAACCGACGCTTCTGCAGTTGTAGATACATATAGACACACGGGAAGGGAAGAGGGGCTGCCTACCTTTTCTGCATTCAGCGTTCCAGCTGTCACCTGTGACAGGATTAGTGGTGCCCTCGCAAAGGACAACGACCTTCCTCCCGTTACCGAAGGCAGTCTGCAGACTGTCCTTCAGTTCTCCCTTGTTTTTAACATAAATCTGGGTAGCCGGCATTGCAAATCTGGAAAGTAGAAAGGCAACTTCCGTATTAGCCAACTTTTACAGACAGTAGTCAGCAAGAAAAAGTAACCCATGTCCTTTCCCCCAGAGAACGGTGTGAAGCCGAGGATAGAGAGCTGCGTCACCGCGGTCTCTGTGGGCTAAGAATGGGCTTGGAACAGACAAATCTACCTTCTAACCGAATAGAATTCGTCCCAAACGATGGTCTGCGCCTAATCCTCAACAAATACAATCTCCGTTGGAAAGTGAACATGCCGAAGCCTATGATTGGGACCGACGGTCTTCGGCCGACTAGTCGTACAAAACAGGACACAAAAATCCTCAAATTCGATCCTCTACAGTATTGAAGAGACCGCAATATCTCGTTTTACCTCCGACTGCTACAAATATCATGTATTAATCAAAAACTTATCGCATAAAATCTTAAACTCAGACGAAGTACAACGAGCTTGAGGTGTCGCTATTCACACAGGAAACACGAGCAAAACCATATCAACCAGTCTGATGGGACGTTTTACCGGGGTGAAAAAGATCAATCGACAAAGCAGTTCGACAACCCAAAGAGAATGCGGGATAGTAGCAGAGCAGAGCAAGAACAGTCAGCAACTCTTGCGATATGATACAGGAGTAACCGGAACAGGAAGTTACGGTAGGACACGGGAATAGGAACCCCACCTCAATACTAAGAGCGCTAGATTTCATGGTGATTCACATTAAGTTTACGGCAAGCACACGAGAAAAAGGTACACTTACTAAAACTTAACAGTCTGTCTGTATCACAGGGGCAATTATTCTCGCGTCTAAACTAGACATCAAAATCCATTCAGATGAGGCCCTGTTGCGCTTTGACTGACGAATTATTAGGGTCGCCCGTAAATGCCGCTTAAATAACGGTCCTGGTGGGACAAGACAATCGGTAACAGGCATGGCTACACAAAGTTACGCCCTTATCACCTTCGGTAAATGCTCGTTTTGACAAAAAGGTAGAGGAGGCCCGTCAGACAGACAACGATTTCAAACAAAGAATTAGTAGAGAAACGCTTTCCCGTGCACGCAAGCCAGAGCTTGCTGGGTGCTACTAAACTATGTTGACGGAGCAGTTATTTGACGATGCGATAACTTACACTGTAACCGAGTAACGCATGCAGCAAGCGATATGAATCAAGACATTATACACAATACCTAGTTTTAAAGGCCGATTCAACCAATTCGACATATGAACCGATAGGGTGGACATGTTATAGAGCCGAACAGACTAAGAAAAGACACCTCATCGCAATTATATGCACTTTATAGTCAGCAGGCATTATCCAGCTGCAGAGAATACGCAAACTGTCCAGTTTTCCAAAGCTAACAAGAGTCTGTGTTACCCCCAAGAGGCGCCACGCACGCACACACATGCCACAGAGACCGATCAAAAAGTTGCTCAGAAGACGCCTTAAGTTGTTGAAGACAATAGAGAAGTGTAAATTTGACTTAAATAAAAAGCGGCACGGAGTGTGAAGCTAACCCAAAACACACACGCTACGACCTCAATGACTTAGGTACTTCCTAATGCTTAAGTAGAGCTACCAAAGTATATGTAGGGCCTCAGTAACTGTTTCGACTGACCGCAATATCGATGGATTAGCACTGCCTAGGAGACAGACAGGCAGCAGAACAACCCACCAAGCAATATGCACTAAACGAGGAAGCGACAACACCAAATGAGTAAATGAAGAAGAGTCAGCAGAAATATAGTTTACACCCTGAAAAAATTTACTCTGGGATTTTATAGGTACAAGAGCCGTCGACGATGTGAAGGCTGTGGGCTAAATGGTAAATGCAGACAGGGGAAGGGGTGGGGGGGGGCGAATGAGCGGTGGGTGCAACAGATACACACATGGCCACAATGGGAACAAGCCTACACAAAAG